GATGTACCCATTTGTGTTACTTAATACATTGCAAGGGCTATATATTGCTGTAGCATTTGGTTTTACCAGAAGAGTGCGAGCTTTGTACAGAAACATTAACAGTAGATTAAAGAGAAGCAAAAGTGCATCATCAAATGCAAATGAAGCCTGTGAAACTAGACAAACGAAGTTGTAAATAACAAGATATTTGTGTAACTTAGTACATTGTAAGGTCTTCGTATATGCGTATGTAGCATTTGCTCAGTTTACCACAGTAGACTAAAGAGAAGCAAAATGCATCATAAAATACAAATGCATGCTGTGAAACAAAGTTGTAAATAATAACAAATTTAAGACTCTTGCCCTAATCCTTACTTTAAAGTAATAAGTAAAAGTTGTAACATTTAATCCTACCTTATATTGTAATATGTCAATCATGGTGTTCTGATGCAATGCCTGCATTTCACTTTTTAACGCCAACCGGTTTACTCGGTTGGTTGTGCATCGGAATTTTGTGCGAAAAACAATTACTGAGGAGAAGGTGCTGCCTTTGTAATCACCTCTGCAAATGGTTAGACCTTCACGTTGCTTGAATGATCACGGAAAAATAGCGGTACGGTCTCTCCACTATAACTCACCCTGAAACGGAATGACGTAAAAGAACATACACGCTGGTATAGAAGAGAAAGGCTTTGGACCAGTTTCCATAAGTCCAGAACGCGGCTTGATCAAATGCAACTCGCATGTTGACTCTCATATTTCGATAAACTTTATTATATTAAGCTTCATCTTTAATGCCATATATATAATATATAGTTTTTATATATAGTTTATGCCATAGACGACGTGCTTTGGCCCCTCTTTAATTTCCACCACAACCCATCTAGCTCAAATAAAATATTTTATGTATTTTGTGCATCTGGAACAGCCTTTTTCACATTTAAACAGGTTTATGTTCCATGTCTAACACAAACAAGCGGGTTGACTGACTATTACAGCTAGATGATAGACTGGATTATAAAAGAAGTAAGTAAGAGGAAAAAAATATTTATCTACTTATTTACTTAAAAAAATTCTATCTATGAGTGTAAACAGTTGTCTTCAAGAATCAAATGTCCAGACTTAATTCATTGATGATCACACAAACCACACGTCTTCTTACAGTATTTCTTGATTGAACGCAGTACGCAGAATCCCCTTCTTCTGTAATAGACGCAGTTGCTTACTGTTGAAGGGTAATACGTATCCAGTGTATCACGACACTTTTTGTGTTTACGTTGTCTACGAGAAACGGGCGAGGAAGGCGTGTAAGCGCACGCAGCTGGATCACCTCTCCTAGGATAATAATGAAATCAAAATTCATCGTTAATAGCTTTGTCAACTTCTTGTCAACTTCTTGTTTGAAGTAAAAACTATACAAAACTACACAATTTGGTATGACTA